GGCAAAGCCATTGTTGTTTCAACTCATTCTGATGATGTTGGCTTTCCAAGGAGAAAACTAGCGCCCTGAGGAAAGGGAAGGCCAATGTCGATGTTCGTATTCGATTGATGATCTGCAGCTCGACGATGATATCGGCTAGTCTCCCGCTTGGAGTGATGTGTGCATTGAAGAACACTGTGCGCAAATTGCTGCTGAAGCATTGGTTGTAAATAATATCCTGCTTTATATAATCGCTATGTCCGTGCGTGTATGTGCGTCTCTCTCTTTGTTACGAGATTCATAGCGCCGGTCCAAGTAGCAGTGAGACATTGGTTCTAAGGAGTGATGTAGGTGTGACGGGAACACTATATATGGGTGACAGGAAGTGCCATCAGTTGATAAGATCCGATAAGAGGCGTTAGAAGGCGGAGGTCACCATATTCATAACGCGGGTGACAGCATCAGCTAGCTCTTGATTCCAAGATATGATATAGGGTATGGGCCAAGAACATCATTAGTGGTCACAAAAACTGCAAGCTGCTGATAAGATCGATAAGGGGCGTTAGAAGGAGAAGGTCACCATATTCATAACGCGGGTGACAGCATCAGCTAGCTCTTGATTCCAAGATATGATATAGGGTATGGGCCAAGAACATTATTGCTGGTAAGATTCGATAAGGGGCGTTAGAATGGTGATCATCGTATTCACAGCGCAGGTCACAGCATCAGCGAGGCGTACGTCTCAGCAAGTGATATAGAGGGTGAGATGGGGACATGAATCGTGGGTGACTGGAAGCGATAACTACTGATAGAGACTGATAAGTGAAGTTGCAGTCGTCGTCGCTGTTCAAGGTGGTTCACGCTACCAAATCATAGAGATTTTGTGAGGGGACATTAATAAAAGGTGGCAGGTAATCTTATCAATCGATAAAAACAGATAAGATACCATCTGCGCTACATTTTTATCACTTCTTACCGCTTTAATGCCGAGTATTAGAGGCTCAGTGTGTGAACCCTTTCCTTTGATGGCAACAGAGTCAAGGTCGTCCAATGAACTGTTTGCTTTCAGTCGCATGCAATGTTGTCGAGCTTAGGGGGAGGTATATAGTGCGACCGAAACGGGAAATCGAGGAATTCACCAGAAAATTTTTCGCAAATCTCCCTTCTATGCCCTCCTATGTGCTGTTTTAGGAGGTGACGGTCGCAACTGCACAAAATAAGGAGGGAACCCAACAAATTGGGAACGTCCTGTCGGTGGTCATTCAACTCCGTGTCGGCGCGACACAAACTTTTATATGTACAAGCAATGTGGAGTTCTCCTTTTCAGTGCCACCCATTACTCTGCAGTTATGCCTCTTCCGGTGTTAAGGACTCATCCGGACTAATTCAACTTTACCCATTCTGTTGTCGCAACTGCGGTCCTTAATGATATGGTGCAGACCTTCCCACGGTTGAAAGTCTATAGTAAGCAAGAGGGATGTTGTAGATGTTAGATGTTGGTAGATAATGACTGATGTTGAGCTATTGATACTTCAACTCATTTTCCTGTATTTCAATAAAAAAATGTCATCATTTTGGACATTTAGTGCATTCTACCTCGCTTGAGAGAAGAATGCCTGGTGCTGAAGGCCAGACCGGCCCGGCAAAGCCGGGCCGTGAAACGTAGGAGGAGCACCCGGCGGCAGCCGGGTGATCCGACTGATAATAATACAAATAATACCAGTTTGGCTGAAGCGCACTACTGCGCGCATAGTCAAACCTATGGTAATTTGTGCTGATGCTGATTTTTGTGCTGACACTTTTCCTAATCCCCATGTCTTGGAATACGGCCCATTTCAATCTTTCGCCTTCTGATGATTATTTGTCAGTGCCTGGTGCTTATCATATTTATCAAGACACCCACCATTCGCTGGTAAATGAGCGACGGCTTAGCGGAGTTTTAAAGAAATTCAGGTGTGGTAACAAATATGAAATTTAAGTGACAGCATCGTTATTGTTTTGGACGCTAGCCTTGAGCAGCTTTTAACTATGTCTAACTGATTGCTGTTATTATTGACTCACTAACAAGACACCTTCCAGGCTTTTACTTTTGGGTGAAACCCTAAAGTTTAGCCGTTGAATCATCTTTGACTGTATCGCTAAAAGAGTAGAAACATCTTGGCTCATCAAGCCTTCGCCCATTGTCTTGAGGGCTTCCTCTCCGACCCGCCATTCCTATTCTGCCTCCTATATCATTGCTTGCAACCAACGTCCTACCGTCGCTGCGATGCAGGTGCGAATTAGATGATAATCTTTCTAGCTCTTGGTATCTTACCAGCTATAAGCAATTCCTACCACCTACCAATAATGTTCCCATCTGCTCCCTATCCTACATCGTGGAACCAACCTTCCGTGGTCACTGTGGCTGACCTTATGGATTGCAACCTACCCCTTCTAAAACTCCTTATGGTATCTTAATAGCTATTATCACTTCCTGCCGCCCACCAATTGTTCCCATTCCTGTCCCATATCTTACTTCTTGGAATCAACGTCCCATCGTTGCTGTAGCCGTCGCTATGAATATGGTGACCCTTCCCTTCTAAGACTCCCCGTGATTCGGCTCTTACACTTCCTATCTGCTCTCTTATCATCATCCGCCCAAAGGCATAGGACACGATGATCCGATATCGGTCTTAAATGGTAGCAGAGGTGTAACATGGTGGGAAAATGGCAAGATGCGAAATGAAACGGCCAGAAATCTGCAAAAAAGTGCGTTTGTTTTGTATGGGTTAGAAAGCAATCTTTCCCGTTGCATCGTGCAATGATCGCTATGGCTGCATGTATGTACCCACATATCCATGCAGAACCGCACCGCTTCATATCAATCCTTTCGCTTCATATTGTACTTTAAAAATGAAGCGATATGAGCATCAGGTACAGACGTCTACTTTTGGGCGAGTTAACGCGGTGGGGTGGTATGTAGCAGCAGGAAAGGGCGCTATAAGGGTACCTCGTCGATGGAGGCGCCAAGCAGCGCCTGCCTAGGGGCCGAAATTCTGCCATGCTGGGCGTTTAATACTACACGTCCTGGGGAGCTATCGTGCCACTTGCACACCTAACTTCTCTAAAGGTGAGTAGACAAGTCAGATCAAAAGTGAATACACCGAAGACCATCGGTGGCAAAAAGCTACCTTGGGCGTCACTGCACACTGGTGTAGATTCGGCAAACACCATTGTTGTCGATAAGGTACACTCTGCTGATGTGAAAGGGTTTGATCCATTTCATCGTTCTTATGTTGAGAAGCTCACCAAGTAAAGCTATTTTGAAGTTATATCGAGTTTCTTCTCAGAATTCGGAATAACTGTACTCCAGTCCCTAAGGAGGAACTATACTGCTGCCCCCAGGCCTTCAGCTCTTATGAAACTCAATTTCAGTAAGGGCAAATGGCCCTGAGACTACATGTGACCTCCAGGGAAAGTGATCAGCATGGCGGAACGGTATCCGAGCAAACCAATAAGTTGCAATTTTTTCGCTGTGGAGCAAATTGAATCATTCGTCGTAGATACTATTTAAATTTTTAGTTCTCTCGTGCAGTGGGCCACTCAAACCCTCCGCCACTGCCATCTGAGTACCAGAGTTCACTTGCAGTGGAAAAAGTCGCGCTCGGCGCGGGGACATGCTTGCCTCCGCTTGTCTGAGGTGTTGCTATGCGGGTGCGTCTTGCTATCCGCAACTAGTAGGCCTTTACTGCCTCTACGCGGTGAGCGCTATGGCCACGCACTTCATATTACCTCTCCTCCCTACGCCCATCACATGCGCCTCATCTAAGCATACCTGCTCCCATAGCCGACCGAACCTACGACATCGTGACCAACAACCAACTAATGCCTATGATGGATAGATATTCAAGAAATGTTGTGGATTACCCGATTATGATACTAAGCAATAGCCCAAATTGATTAATTTATCTACCTCTCCAAGCAACAACTGAACAATGGAGTAACGAATAAGAAAACACTACTAAATAGAAAAGTGGTATGACCCTAGCTACAGGGACGAACCCTGTCTCATCCCCTTAAGAGTACAGCCGACTAGGGGCATTGGGGACATCCTTCCCAGGCTATCCAGAAGGATCGAATGCACCTCCGCTCCTAATGGTTACCTGTGGTTCCGACGGCCTGCGGTGATCCAGCTCCCTTAAGTGGTACGGCTCGTTGATACTGAATTGCGGTCGGCATGGATGGATCACAACGTTGACAGCTGGGCGAAGAGCGAGAGGAGCGTCCACTCGAGATGTCTACACGACGTAGATTGGGTGGCGACTGGAGTCGACGCCGCCTCTGCTTCCCTGGCGGCTTCTCAAATGCTCCCTCAGATGTGTGCCAACTCTATGAACGCGACCTGCATGACTAGGTACACTTGTCATTATAAGGTGCAGTGTATATGATGGACACTTTGAATCCCATTGTCGCTAGGAACTGCTTTCTTCAAACTGAACTATGTCTTAAAGTGAGTAATCGAATCGCAACACATATTGACCTGGAAAAACAACCTTATCTACAACCGAACAAAAAAATATTTTCCCTACGTTAACAGTATGCGGGGGGTTGGGTCTGCCAAGACCTCTTGCGAGTCAATATTCTAGAGCGCCTTCACGGAATACAATGAGAATTGGAACCAACTTGTCTTGCTTGCTTGGTTTTGTTGGCTTTTCTGTCGCCTCAGTTTCTTCACCATAGTCTTCTGTGGTTGTGGTGGTCATCGTGGCCGCTGTCGTTTCTGATGTTGTGAGCCGTGTTGTGATATTTAGTGGTTTCGTAGCGATGATTTTAGAAGTTGTTTTGACACTGGTTGTGGTGGACATAGGAGCCGTGATGGCTGCTTTTGTGGTCTTTGTTGCAGCAGTAGTGCTAGTGATTATTGGTACGGGTTTGACTATAGGGGGAACTGCTGTGCTGGACGCCGTTGTGGAGGGAATTGTTGTGGTGGATTGTGTTGAAGTAGGAGCAATCGTTACAGGGGCAGCTGTGGCGGGAAATGTTGTGCTGGGCACGGTTGTAGTGAGAGATGTTGTGGTGGGTGCGGTTGTTGTGGGAACTGTGGTGGTCGAAGTTTCTACTGCAGTGGAAATAGTTGTTGTGGGTGCGGCTGTGGCAGGAGTTGTTGTGGTAGGCATGGTTCTCACGTGAGTTGTTGTGGTGGGTGCGATTGTTGAGGGAATTAAGGTGGTAGTAGTTTCTATTGTAGTGGGACTAGTTGTCGTTGTGAATGGAGTTGTTGTGGTGGGTACCGTCGTGGTGGGAGTTGTCGTAGTAGGTGCGCTTGTTGTGGTAGTTGTGGTGGTCGTAGTTTCTATTGTAGTGGAACTAGTTGTTGTGGGTGCGGTTGTGGATGGAGTTGTTGTGGTGGGTTCAGTCGTGGTGGCAGTTGACGTGGTGGATATGGATACACTTGTAGTTGGAGTTGTTGTAGTGGAATCGGTTGCAATGAATGTTGTTGTTGTGTAAGCAACTGTGGAAGGAGTTGTGCTGGGTAAGGTTGTGGTAGCAGTTGTATTTGTGGGTAGGGATGGAGTTCTTGTAGTGGAATGAATGCTGTCTGTTGCAATCAATGTTGTTGTTGTATATGCGACTGCGGTAGTTATTGTTGTGTTAGCCACGAATGTACTGTAAGTTGTTGTGGTCGGCATGGTTGCTGTCGGTGCTGCAATAGTCGAGGCAGTTGTTGTAGGTTCCGTTTTGTCGCTTTCAGTACTTGTTCCATTTACATCGCCAACTTCGTTACTTGAACTTCCATCTTTTATTGGAGAGGCTGTAATGCAGTGGTATCACTACATGACCCGTGAGTTATTTCAATTTCGTATTTCATGACTATGTTTATGAGAGATGAAAGTCTACAAAAGAAAGATGCAAAGGTGATGTCCGATACTGTCATAGTCACAGCAGTTTTGCAAACCCGTAGTTTAGTTGCAGTATCAACGTTTAAACTGAAGCCCACACGAAAGCACGGTCACTGTGTAAGGCCCTGTTTTACGAGACTAGAGTAGCCACAAAACGACTTGGAGCGAGAGCAATCGATCGGCATCAGAATTAGAACAATTTTTTTCAATAGGTGGGTATGCAAGAGCAGTGAAGGGAACATTATTTATGGGTGTCAGGAAGTGGTATCAGCTGATAAGATCTGGAAAGAGACTTTAGAGAGGCAGGATCACCAAGTCCACAGCTCGTGTCATAACAACACCAACAATTCATGATGTGATATAGGGCATGGGATACATTATTGGTGGCTGACAAAAGCTGATAACTGCTGATCAGATTTGATAAGCGGCACTGGACAGACAGGGTCACAGTATTCATGGAGCGGGTCAGCACTGGATCACCTCGACAGTGGTTCCAGCGATTGATATAGAGGGTGAGAAGGGGACACCTACCGTGACTGACAGGAATTTTTAGGATTGAAAGAGTCTGATAAGGGAAGTTGCGGTCGCCTTCGCTGTTCAAGGTGATAGGGCTTTCACTGTACCGAATAGCGGAGATTCAGTAACAATGATATTGATGACCGATGACAGGTAATCATGTTAATTGGTAAAAACAAAGAGAAGAGGTCATGTTTACCAAGTCCCTTAGCACTCCACACCACTACTGCCAAGTGTTAGAGCCTTGTGTGAATTCGTTGTCTTATCCAAGGCGGCGGTAACAGAATCAAAATCAATCTCTGTATTATCCAATCTCACCTGCATTATCTGCATGTAATGCTGTCGAGCCCCAACGAATCCTATCCGCAGCCTCAACGTGGCGTGGGGTTGAACGGTTTGGACTGTTCCAAACCGTACCAATGCGGAGGGTGCCACGTCAGAGCCTGGCGAGCTACGCGTGATCAGATTTCTTCACGTAATTATAAGCCTCACTCCCCTGAAGCGGAGGAAACCACCGACAGGCCCGCGTGGCTGAAACCGCTCGGGCGAGGATGCAAGAATCTCAGAGCCAGCGGAGATTTATGTCGCCGAGGAGCAGGATGACGATCTGTACTTTTAATGCACGGACGCTTTCAAGCTCACATTGAAGATTCGATGATGCAAGCCAGGAAGATCAAGTACGACGTTAACGGATGATCGAGACCAAGAGGCATCCCCGCTACACGCCGTATACGAAAGTGGAGAAGATTTATTCCTCGGGACATGCGACGGCAAAGGCGTTAATGGTCCTTGTCAACAGTCAAGGCACTTGACCATGAACATCGATTTGTACGAAAGTCTTCGTCGCCTACGCACCAACGCCAAACTAGGAAGTAGGAGTATGAGCGTTCTATATGGAATGGGAGAAGTTCTACAAGGGAAGATCATACCTTCTTCAAGGTCATCGTCGGTGATTTCAACGCTAAGATCGGACCAAGAAGAACGGCTGAAGAACTTCACATCGGAACTCACGAATAGGAGTGGAATGAGCAGGGTGAAAGGCTGTCTGAGCTTATCATGTTGATTCATACCATATATCAAGTGATTCGCAGTTCCAGAAGCCCTACTCTCTACGCTGGACATGGGAGTCTCCTGGTGGACAATTCCATAATGAGATCGACCACATCATCTTCAATCGAAGGTTTTGCCTGACCGATGTCGCTGTTGTTCCTAAGTTCTACACGGGATCCGACCACCGTCTCCTTCGCGCGAAATTCCGCTTTTGATGCGAGGAGAGAAAGCCGAAGTTCAAGAAGCGAAGCCCCAAGACCGTCATCAACTGGGATCACTTCACTTCTCTCGCTGGGCTCTGGGAGGATTCCATCGACAACATCGACGAGGAATACGAACGGCTTGTCGCACATCTTCACGACTGCGCCAAGAAGTCAGAGAGTTCCAAGATTACCAAGAAGCGTCTATCTCTGGAAACTCTCGAGCTGATTCGCCAACGTGGAGCCGCACGAGCCGCAGGCAATTACCAGCTGACGTCTGAGCTTGCGAAGCTATGCAGAGAAGCGATAAAAGAAGGCCTTAAGGAGAAGAGAGCATGTGCACTGCCGCAGAGGCAGGTAGAGCGTCCGCAACACCCGCTGCGACCTCGCCGTTTGCAAGGCCAAGATGACCGGCCCCCGACGTCCGGACGGAACAATCACCGCATAAAGAAGGGCAATGAAATAGAACATCCACGACTTCTATTTTGATATCTTTGGCAGCCACGTCCACAAACTCTTCACACGAGTCGTCCTGAACAGGATTGGCAGAACACTAGACGAAGGACAGCCATGCGAGCAAGCAGGGTTTCGAAGAGGATTCAGCACGATCGATCACATCCACACGGTAACGAAGCTCATTGAAGTATCGCGAGAGTACAAGATGCCGTTATGTCTCACGTTCATCGACTTGAAGAAAGCCTTCGACTCCGTTGAGACAAAAGTTATCGAAGCCCTGGGCAACCAGGGTATTCCTACTCAGTACATCAGGATTCTTCGTGAGCTCTACAGCAACCAAGATCTCACCATTCTACAAGATTATCACTCACGCGACGTGAAGAGAGGGGTCCGACAGGGCGACACCATCTCGCCCAAGCTCTTCAGCGCCTCTCTCGAGAACGTCATGCGTCAACTGGAATGGGAAGACATGGGAGTGAAGATCGACGGTCGGCAACTACACCATCTCCGCTTTGCTGACGACATCGTTTTGATAACACCAAACATCGAGCAAGCGGAACGAATGCTGGCTGAATTCGACTGCGCGTGTGGAAAAATCGGTCTACGGCTGAATCTAACGAAGACGATGTTCATGAGAAACGGATTGGTTTCTGATGCCCCATTCACGCTCAACGGAACGACCATCTCTGAATGCTCTAGCTACGTATCGAGGGATAGCGAAGAAGACGAAGAACACCAAGTTCTTCGCCTACTTCTTTGATTCTGCGGTCCTTCCTGCATTGACTGGTTCTGCGGTCCTTCCTGCCTTGACTTATGCCTCAGAGACTTGGACTCTACGAAAGCAGGATGAGCATGCGGTTGGCGTTATTCAACGCGCCATCGAAAGGGCGATGCTCGGAGTTTCCCGCTACACGCAAGTGAGAGAGGGAATCCGGAGCTCCGCACTCCGCCGACGATCGAAGATCAGAGACGCCGCCGCTTTTGCCAAGGTTTCGAAGATCAGGTGGGCCGTCATGCGTTTCGAGGACGACCGCTGGACCAGAGCGATCACCGACTGGATTCCACGGGATGTCAAGCGAACGCCTGGACGACCGCCTATGCGATGGTCAGACTTCTTCGTGAAAGCTCTGAACGAATGGTATGAAGTTCATCGTGTCCCTCGAGCAGAGAGAGTTCATTGGGCAACTCTTGCACGTTGCAGGGACGAATGGAGACGCCCGCTCGAGGAACTCGATGATCAACGGGAGCACAGGTGATACAGGTGAATGCTGTCAAGCGCAGGGGGGTATTCAATGAGATGCCGATCGCAATCGAATCAAAATAAGGAATGGAGCACAATGTTTGGAGTAATGGTATCGTATCGACGGTGGTGGGCTCTAAGTAGGGTTCCCTGTGTGGTGCGCGACGCAATGCACTAGCGAAAGTGGTTACTATTGCATCGCAGTCGTCGGCTAGTCTGGTCTCTTGCTGCAGGACCTTTGTAAGATTTGCTCTCGAAGATGGATCTCATCCTGAACTTATTAAGGAGTAGAATAGACTCACAGTTAACTGACATATCTGAGCTGAGGTGGCATGTGATGACGATCATCTTAAAAAACATTGTGACAGTTCTATGTAAACATCGAACAGAACAGTTGTGAGCTGAAGGTACCATACAAGCGAACAAGCGACCAGTCTTCGTGTAGGACCCATTACAATAAACCGTTTCAAGCCAAATGTGAAGGAATAAAACAGCAAACATGTTTTGTTTGAGATGCGGAAGAAACACGTCATGTTATCCAACGTCAAGCTAGTCCATTTTCCGAAGCTGCTGAAACTGATGCCGATACTGATGTCGAAAGCGATATCAACAAGCCACAATGCATGCAAACAGTCACTGTCTTGGGGCATCCCACTGGCGTAAGACGTTACTTCTGGCTCTAGGCGACTAGGGCAAAATACGGCTTGCGAGCGGAGTCATGTGAATGGCATTCGTTCGCATTTGGGAGCAGCCCACTCAATGTAGCAATGCTGCCACGAGTCGACTCACTCGACTTCTTTCGCGTCTGCATCTCC